AATTTAGAGGCCACAAGTGGCTCTTTTTTGCAGGCAATTGTTTGTCAGGGCTATGTGGGCTGGATGGTAGTTGAAGAGAAGAGCTGAGTTTGGCCTAAAATGATAGAGGAGGGGAGGAACAGGGTTGCAGTTTGCTTTAGGAACTTTCCTAGTTCAAAGAGGAACTCTCAGTCTGAGACACACAGTGTTGGCTATCTGGTGTGTGGAGGTGTGGCAATTGTGAGGGCAGGCTAGAAGTTTATTCAAATTCAATGACAGGATCATATGAAGGTGAAGATATCTAGAGAGCAAATCTAATGCCTTTCCTTATAAGGCTCAAACTCAGTTAATTTCCAGCAGATGGTTATTAGAGTGGTCTTTACTTATTTGCCATTTCATTCAAATTCTGTGATGTCATCCATTGAGCTAAGTGTGAGCCTACAAGGACTCTTCAGTGGGTACACAGCAATCAACATGAAGGTAATGCTTAGTGCATGGTGCCACAAACAAGTGTTCTGAACTGAAAGGAAAGGCTCAAAGCAGACTTTGGGACATGTACAGATCCACAAAGGAAGCTACCACCGGGGCTCATTAACAAGTCCCACTATGTGGTGGTTTGAGTGAGAATAGTCTTCATAGGCTCATATATTTGAATGCTTAGTCACCAGGGAGTGGCACTATTTGAAAAGATTAGAAGGATTAGGAGGTGTGGCCTTGTTGAAAGTGAACACCAGGGGTGGGCTTTGAGGTTTCAAAAGCCCATGCCAAATCCAGAGTCTCTCTCTGCCTAAGGATCATGGTGTAGATCTCAGCTACTACTCTAGGGCTTGCCTGCACACTGCCACACTCCCTGCCATGATGATACTGGACTAAACTTCTGAAACTTGAAACAAGCCCCCAAATGAATGATCTCTTTTGATATGTGATAGGTAGGGTTTTAGTTGGGGGGGATGGTAGGGGAGGACAGGAGGGAGACGGAACTGGGATTGTCATGTAAAACAATCTTGTTTCTAATTAAAAAAAATCTGCAAAAAATAAAGTAGAATAAAATAAAACATTAGTTCTGGGCATTCAGGGTCTTTAACAATGAAAAAATTAACACAGTTAATAGAGTCTTGTCCAATAACACACAGATATTGGCTACAAAAAAAAAAGAATGATCTCTTTCATCAGAGCTGCCTTGGTCATGGTGCCTCTTCACAGCAACAGAACAATGACAAAACACACTAGAATGAAGAGCTGTGTTACTATTAATATAAACCCATGTTAACTAAGGGAAAATATTTGATCTACTTGTAACTGAAGATTCCAGCAACACAAACAATGACAAGGTTTTAATAGTTTAAGGCTGAGATGTCCTCAAAGGCACAAATGAAGTGTGGTCTCCAATGCAGCAATGCTCAGAGGATGGTGAGGGCTCTGAGCTCATCAATGAATTAATCCATGGGTGGATGGATACTCACCTGAATGACTACTGTGAGGGGATGGAAATTGTAGAAGGCAGTACCTAGCTGGAAGAAGGATGTCACTGGGGTGCCTTCTTGGAGGATGTATATTGCCTGATTCTTTGTCTGCTCTTTCTGTTTCCTGGTAATTATGAGGCTACCAACTCTACTCTCTTCTGTCATAGTGCTCTGTGTTACCTCTGGCCTAGAAACTACAGTACTAAGGGATTATGGTCTGATACAGTGAACCAAAAGAATTCTTCTGCCTTTAAGTTGTTTGTCTCGGTGATTTTTTTTCCAGTGACAAAAAGCTGAGTAACACACAGATGACATAGAAACTATATGGACAAAAGTCACCTTATAGGGCCAGAAGCAACAAGACCAAAACATAGCCAATTCCCTCTTAATTAATACAACTCAAAAGGTTAAGTAGACTTTTATTGGCTGTCCAAGGCTGTAGTCGGTGTCCTCGTACTCTGAATAGATCTGAGAAATGCCATGGAAAGAAGCATTTGTATTAAGGGTTTGACTGGAGAAGAAACTCCAGGTTTTGTAACATTTGTTTATAGCTTGGCTTCCTTTATATTTTACTGAACAGGTATTAAATTTTGATAAATAATTTAAAGGCTTCAGATATTCTTAAAAGTTCTTAGAAGTAAGAACCTGGCTCAGAGAGATTAAGAAGACCAGGATTCAAGTTAGAATTGGGAACAGGCTGGGCTTAAGGGCTTATATCCTAGGAAATATGAGGTGGGGCTAACACAGTCATTGAGGAAAGCCTCACTACAGAAAGTAAGATTTTTATTTGTGTATGTATTTTAGTATATAATTTTGGAAAAGAGTAACACACACACACACACACACACACACACACACACACACACTGGTTCTCAGACAGAAAACACTAATAAATGAATAATTGAACATCACCTCCTGAGACCACTTTGAATTACTGGAAGTTTTGTAAATAGTTCCAGAGAACTGTTGAGTTGAGTAAGCAAGGAAGATGTTCTTGTTCCCATCTGGAGAAGAAAGACTTACGTCTGACAATTGGCCTGCTACAGGATGGTCTGGATTTAAAGCATTTACATTTATGATCTCAGCTAACACTAGTAGCAACTCACTGACTGCTACACCTCCATGCAGTGCAACTGGGAAATGGTGACCCTGCTCAGGACCATGTCAGCTGTCATTGTTCTGTCTTCTCTTGTTACCTAGTACCTAACAGTCTGCTCCCTGACTTGACCCTGGTTACTTCATCTTAGAATGGTTTATTCTCTTCCTTCTCACAAGACTGTACAAGAAATGGAAACGGAGCTATGATGTCTATGAAAAGATGCCTATGTGAAGATATTTCAAACTTATGCTCTTCACCAGCTGGCCATTCTTCTCCTCTGTGCAGGTAGTCACAAACACTGTCCAGCAAGGGACTGAAATCTGGTGTCCCTTCCACCCACCCCACGAATCTTGTTTCTAACTGCTGCAGACTGAACATGCGAGGTAAGTGCTCCACCACTGAGCCAACTCTCCATCCTTTCTGTTTCTTCCATGTTAGATTTGGATGAGTTCTGGTGGTGCAGGTGCTCATCCCACCACTCCCTACTGTTTTACATATAATTACAGACATTAATACCTTTGTGGTATGTCTGAAGGCATCTAGATTGTGAATATGGAACCTAGGGGTAGTTATCATCTTTAACTCCTTGTGTTTTGGGTCTTTGACGTCTCATGAGACTGCTGTGAAGAAGCCACAAAGTGGAGGAGGTACTCCTGGGTCTCAGGCATGAGGACCTGGATGTGAGTTTGAGTTGCATCTCTGCAGTTTGTGTGGTGCAGAGCTTGCAAATGGCTGCTCGGGCTCTGGAGTTGTACACCATGCTGGTGCTATACAGAGAAGACTGTTCCACACGCAAAGCCTGAGGGTGCTTAGCATTATCCCCAGTCTTCTAAAAGTATGGGGACTCAGAATGACTGAGTAATCAAAGAATTTGAAGAGTGGACAATTTAATAGTTCACCACTGTGAAGCCCATCTTCTGGGTCCCCTACCTCTCAAACGACTGTCATTGTCTACACAGAGTAAGCCCAGCTATTCATGTCCCCAAAGTACAAAAATGACTGTCTTCACCGAGGTAGATAAGAAACCTGAATAGGGGATATTTTCAATGCTGATGAGAAAAGCAAATTTATACTTCTTAGAATTTTACTGCATTAATGGTGAGAACTGTTGGTTGCTTTTTTTTTTCCCTAAGCAAGGAAGGTCCTGTGAATTCTTTTGCTATTTTATTCTTAGGGGAAATCTAAAGATCCATTTGAAAGAGAGAAGAAACAGCATTGATTCAAATCCTACATAGAGAACTACACCAGACCGAGGCTGAACTACTCAAAACCCGAAGGTTAAGTGAACTAGAAACTTCGAGGGCCTGGGCCCCATGTGACGTTCAGTTCTCTTAAAGAAGCACACTCACTTTGTATTCATGCTTCTGAGGCCTCAAGTGTATCAAATAGAAACTGAATATGCTACAAGTCAACGTGTGGATGACGTGGACATCAATGTGGCACAGTGCACATGTAACTCTACCTCTTCCTTTGCCATCTTTGAAAAATAAGTCAATAAACCCCCTGTAACAATCACACAAATACACCAAGCAACTGTACCTCTTCGGGCAAGCTGACCACCAAGTCATCTTTCGTCTGTCCAACCAGTGCCTGCCAGAAGTATTCACTGCATGCAGCCAGCACGGCCCGGTGGGCTCGGAACTCCTTCCTCTCCACAATCAGAGTCACATCACAGAGAATGTCCTTTTTCCGTTGGTCATTGAGGCCGAGGAGGATGTTGGCACAGTGGACTGTGGACTCATACACATACATGGGGGAGTCAGGCTTCTCATCCACAGACATGCCGTTCAAACCCTGGAAGAAAGAAAGGCTGGGTCAGTACCCCGTAAGTGACAGAGAAGGTAAGGAGGACCATCATAGCTCCTAGGTCCTCAAGCCAGGAGCCTGGCAGAGGGGAACAGGATTGCTTAGTGGCACAGTCATTCCGGGTTGGCATAACAAAGTCAGAAACATCTGGAAAGCTGAGGCCTATTGCTTTCCTTCCACTCATGGCACCTCTTTATCTTTTAATGGAACACCTTAACACTGGGTGGTTTTGGTTTCATTAGGAGGCTAAAATACAACTTGTATGTATAAAAGTCTAATTACTAACTGAGATTTGTGTCAAAATGGAACAAATAATTTTGAAGTATTTGAATGAAGTACACATAAGTTCCCAAGTTGACATTTGGTAAAGACGTTTAGACTAAATATGAATCATGGGATATGATTCAACAAGTGCACCAAACTGTGTGTGCACTAAAATGTAGTTGTGGTCTGCTAGCCCATCCACCCTCTACCCTTCATGGCAGAGTGAGAGCAATACAACATGGCAGTCACTCCTGTCTCAGATATGGAATAATGCTGTCATTATCTCAGAAGACCCAATGAACATCTTTAAGGAGACAATATAGCAATAGGAACCATAAAAAAAGATACACTCAAAGTAAGATTTACAAGGACCCCTTTGCTTTAAAAAGTACCCTGGGAGTAATTTTAAGATGCACTGTCCATAACTATGTCAAAGGTTGGGTTTTCAGTAATGCTTATTACCAGCATAAACCCCAGTAGCAAGCCCTCCTTTCTCCAATCTTTATTTTTGCTTTTGAAAACCACTTTGGTATATGATGCTGCAATATTTGGAGTATGCAATTACCATTTGACATGTGTATGCAACTGGGAAGCCATCAATGCAATCAAGATGAACATACTATCACCACTCAAAGTCTGCTGTAGCCCTTACACGTCTCAGTAGCCATGCAACCACTGCTCTCTTCTAGAGTTATATTTAAATGGAATCATGTATATTCTGTCTGGATTATCTTACTCGGAATAATGATTTTGCCATCTACTCATGCTGTTGGGTTATCAAAGGTTTGTTCCTCCTTACATTTTGTTGGTAAGAACGGAAACCAGTGTGCCATTATGGAAACCAGCACGGAAGTGTGTCAGAAAGCTAAAAGCAGACTACTTATATGACACAGATGTACAGCTCTCAGGTATACCCCTGAAGGAGTTTAAGTTGGCAAGCTGCAGAGACACTTGCACATCTGTATTTACTGCGACATGACTGGAAGAGCCAGGAAATGGCAAGAAACAGCCTAGATGCCAATATACAGACTAGTGAATATAGAAAATGTGGTGCACATATGTAATAGAGTTTTATTCTGCTTTAAAGAAGAATGCCATATTATTAACAGGAAAATGTGTGGAACTGGAAAGTGAAATTAGCCAGAATTGGAAAGATAAACGTTGCATGTTTTCTCTTATATGCAATATCTAGATTTAAATACAAAATTAGAAGGGGTCCATATTAAAAGAAACCAAGAGGAAATAATAAGGGAAGATAAAATATCTCATTTTCTTTGATATACAGAACCCAGAACTACACACACACACACACACACACACCAGCAAGAGAGGGGAGTGGGACCAAATGTGAGCAACGTTCATGTGAGGGATGGAGCTTTAAACAAGGAGAGATGGGAGGGTAGGGCAGAGGAGGCAGGAATAACTAACATTAAGGATTTCTGAAAAGGTCATAGGGAAATCTACTATTTTATAAGCTTCCTAAATATATAAACAGATAAAGGTATGTTTATCTGGAAATCAGGTATGAGATACCACCCCTCAAGAGGTTGGCTAGAGGTATCCCAGACACCCCTAAAATGATATAAGATATCAGTATTGTTCTTGACTGTTCATCAGAACTTGATTGTAAAAATTATTGATGAAGATACCATATAGATTTGTCACAGGACATGGCAAAATCAAGTTGGTACTGACCAGGAAGTTTTCTCCCAGCAGGACAGTTTTCATAGTACTGGAAGGTGCTATGTAGGCTGCTGGGAGAAAATGTCATCAACAATCTGTGACCCCTGTGAATTACAATAATAACTGGCATGTAAAGACAATTCCCATGGATGCAATAGTGGCACAAATATTATGGGGGTAACCAATCACTTTGTGATTGAATTTAAGGCTTTTTTGTTCAGGAGGAAATAAATGCCTGGAACTGTAAATTTGGTCAAGAACCTATGGTTAGAGAACTCCTAGGCCCCAGAGGTGAATCTGCTACTATTCTCCTAAATGGACCACCTTCAAAATTTTTATCTCTCACAGCTTTTTTGTGCAGTGAGTGGTGGCTAAATGCAGAAACTTACAAGCTGGTCAAAGTACACAGCATAAAAGTCATGGCATGGTCAGAACAAATGAGAAAACCTTATTAACCCCCTCTGAAAAGTTCAGAGATGATGGTGGAAGAGGGACAGAAAGATTCTAGGAGATAGAAGCTGGGGAGAATCGGAGGAAAACAGTGTTTTGGCAGGACTTGGTAGGACTGATACACAGTTCAAGACAATCAACATTCTAACATAGAGGAAGAAAGGGTTTATAAGCCCCCATCCATAAATAAGGAGCTGTGGGCCATTGATCACTTCTTGGGTAGGGAAAGTCAGTTTTCTTTAAATGTGTGGCCTCTGGTAAGTCCATTGGATGTTCCAGTAGATGCCACATAGCATGAGGAAATGGGCATCCCAAATTGAATTTGATGGACCAGAGAGAGAGAAGGGAGGACACATGGTTTGGGAGCTAGGGAGGTAGAAATGGATCTGGAAGGAGTTAGGAAAATGACTGTGAGAGAGCATGATAAAAATACATTGTATGAAATAATCAAATATTAAAATATTAAAAAGTAAATACTATAGGCAAAATCCATTATTTTGTATGCCAATTATAAATCAATAAAAAGAAATTTGTTATTGTATTTACTGCATGGACATAGTATAAGTTTTAAGCCATTCACATCTACTGATGGCTACCTGGATTGTTTCCCAGTTTGGGGTTACTATAACTAAAGCTGCTGGGAAGACAGCAGTGTTTAAGATTTCATACAGACAGTTACCCGAGTTTCTCCCGGATAAGTGTCCATGAGAGTGGATGGACCAGAGGGCATGTACAAGTTTAAGTTTTTAAGAAACTGCCATCGTGTTTTCACATGATTGTACCATCTTATCTTTCCCTAGGAGCATATGGGCACTGGTTCTTGACATCCTTGCCAACATTTGGCATGGTCAATCTTTGTAACTCTGGGTATCCTTGTAGCTGCACTGTGATATCTCTCTGTGGTTTTGACTCCTGTAATGGCTGGAGATGCTGAGAACTTCCAAGTGTTTATCTGTCACTGTCTATTCAGATACTTTGCCTGTTTTAATTTTTAATTTTAATTCTTGAGCAGGGTCTTGCTTTAGCCTTTCAATGCTAGATCCTTCTACTTCTGCCTCATGAGAGCTGGGAATATACACGACACCATGCTAGATGCTTCCGTTTTGAATCAGGTTGTCTGTTTCTTACTGAGGACATTTGAGAGTTCTTACTGCTCTCAACTCCTTTATGCAACAGGTTAATATTTTCCTCCAGTGGGCCACTGCTTGTCTTCTTTTCTTAATATTTATTCTGAAAGTTTTCACTTGATAAAATCTAATTATGTAACTTTTAAGAAATATATTGTGCTTCTGGTGTCAAATCTAAAATATATTTCTAGTGCTGTACAAGTATTAATATGTTTTCACAGATTTATAACTAAGCATTCAAATATAATTTTCATTGCTAATATACAAATACTTTTTTTTCAGTGCTGGAGACCAAACTCAGGACCTCTTGCTAGAATTCTAGGCAAATATTCCACCACTAAGCTACATCCCTAGCTCCAAGAAATAATTTTGTGTAAAGATTTTCTAAACTGGAATCCTGCCTAAATTGCTTACTAGTTCTCACAGCCCTTTCTTGAAACTTCTGTAACATTTCTGCAGTGAAGATAATGTTGTCTGTAAATAAAAACATTAGTTCCTTTTTAATCTGGATGCTTTACATATTTTTGTTCCTGACCATGTTGCCAGTGGCTCTAGCATAACACTGAACAGAGGTGATGAGAATCAAAACCCTTGCCTTGCTGATGTGAAGGGGGGAGCATCTGTCATTTCACTAGGATGCATGGTGTTAGCAACAGGTGTTTCTCAGATGCTCATGCTGTGAGGGTTCCTTCCATTCCATATCTTTTCACTTGCACTGCTTCAATTAAGAACCTGCCCTCAGAATCCCAGCCCTGGGGAGGCTGAGGCAACACCACAAATTCGAGGCTAGCCTAGGCCACACAGCAAGAACCTTCAGAGAGAAATGAGGGCAGAGAGGGAGAAGAAAGGGGAGGGAGAGAAAGGGGAGGGAAAGCAGGGGAAGGGAGGTGAGGGAGTGGTCCAGCACCTTTAGTTTTGTTCTTTTTTCCCCTGTTTAAGATTTTCTCTTTATCAAGCATTTCCCTGTGGAATAACGTGACTGTGATAAGCACTGGTGTAGTCTCCTTCCAGTTTCTTGGGTCTGTGGCTGTGGAGCTTTCATATATCTAAAGACACTTCAGTGGATCAAACTCAGGTCCTATCGACTGCATGGCAACACTGCCAACTGAGCTATTTGCCTAGGTCTGTAGTGTACTGAAAGACAATATTTCTTTTTTTTTCTTTTTAAAACTTAAATTAGAAACAGACTTGTTTTACATGTCAATCCCAGTTTCCTCTCCTCCTCCCCTGTCCCCCATTAACTCCTTTATCCCATATACTTTCTGCTCCCCAGGGAGAGTGAGGCCTTCCATGGGGAATCTTCAAAGTCTGTCATATCATTTAGAGCAGGGCCTAGGCCCTCTCCCCTGTGTGTCTAGGCTGAGAGAGTATCCCTCTATGTAGAATGGGCTCCCAGAGGCCTCATAGATTTCCCAGTACTCCTAAGTGACACCCACATTCAGGGGGTCTGGGACAGTC